GCGCCACCACCGCCACTGCCACTGCCACCGCCACCGCCACAAAACAAGGGCAAATGAGACTAAGGATTGAGGATACAGGCAGTGAGAACATAGAGATTTTCATAGTACACAGACCAAAATGAATTTGTTGGATTAAGTTTTATTTGTACAAGTCACTAATCAAGCTGAGGTTGTATACTGAATGTGAAGCCAGCCTGGGATACATAGGATACATACCCTATTAGATAAACAAATAAAAAGAGTCATTAACTAATGGTGATGTTGTTCTGTATCCTCAGCATTCATTTTATAGAAAAGCCTAATTTGCCAAAGATGTTTTTGTTCTTGTGGCTAAACTGGTGATATGTTGACCTTTCTGGTCTTGGTGCTATACAAGAATGGGATGTAGAATGTTTAAGCCAGGTGTGGTGGTGCATGCCTTTAATCCCAGCACTTGGGAGGCAGAAAGAGGCAGTTGGATCTCTGAGTTTGAGGCCAGCCTGGTCTACAAAGTGAGTCCCAGGACAGCGAGAGCTGTTACCCAGAAAAACCCTGTCTTTTTTTTTTTTTTAAAGAATACTTAAGGGATTTGCTGGCACGCTCTTTGTGTTGTTCCTTTAGCTAACATATCCTTTTTCTAGATTGGCCTGAAACTGAACAGTAGATAATTCAGAGGTAAATTTGGGGGATTAAAGTCATAGATAGCTAGGTGAAATTTAAATATCTTTAGCTTTTCTGTGGTGACCACACTTCAGGAAAACTGCCTTCTTTTTGCTTTGCTTTATTTCAGAAAGAGGATAAGTTGGCACGTTTAGAGAAAGCTATCAACCCCTTGCTTGATGATGATGACCAAGTAGCGTTTTCTTTTATTCTGGATAACATTGTCACTCAGAAAATGATGGCAGTTCCAGACGTAAGTAATTTTCATGCCAAGTGTTGTGAAGATAGTACTAGGGGATGGAAAGAAGTATATAGGGTAAGCATGTGTGTATTAAGAAATTCTATGTAGTGATGTATGTCCATAGGAACTAGGATGTAATTTTAAATAGTAAAGTTTGAGGCCAGCCTGGTCTCCAAAGTGAGTTCTAGGAAAGGCACAAAGCTACACAGAGAAACCCCGTCTTGGAAAAAAAGGGGGGGGGCTCCATCTTTTGCCGGGCGGTGGTGGTGCACGCCTTTAATCCCAGCACTTGGGAGGCAGAGGCAGGCGGATCTTTATGAGTTCGAGGCCAGCCTGGACTACAGAGCGAGATCCAGGAAAGGCGCAAAACTACACAGAGAAACCCTGTCTCGAAACAAACAAACAAACAAACAAACAAACAAATAAATAAATGGTAACCTTTTCCTGTATGAATTCATTATCATTGAAAGCAATGATACCAAGTATCTTTGACTATTAAGAGGTTCTTCCTGTTGTCAGAACTTAGTATTTGTAAGCTCTTGAATAGCCTGGGAGAGAAGAACTGGCAACTAATAGTAGGTTCTTGATTTAGAAATGCTTCTATACAAATAACACAACATTTTTTTTTTTTTTTTTTTTTTGGTTTTTTGAGACAGGGTTTCTCTGTGTAGCTTTGCGCCTTTCCTGGAACTCACTTGGTAGCCCAGGCTGGCCTCGAACTCACAGAGATCCACCTGGCTCTGCCTCCCGAGTGCTGGGATTAAAGGCGTGAGCCACCACCGCCCGGCTAACACAACATTTTTTAGTACATTTATTTATTTGTGCATGTGGGGAGGAAGGTATAAGCTGTGGTTTGTGTGTGGTCAAAACAACTTGCCTGGGTGTGGTAGCACAACCTTTCATCCTAGCACTTGGGAGGCAGAAAACAAGTGGATCTTTGTGAATTCAAGGCCAGCCCAGGCTACACAGTAGGACCCTGTCTTTTAAAAAACAAAGCAAAGCATTTGGGAGGCAGAGGCAGTTGGATCTCTGTGAGTTTGAGGCCAGCCTGGGCTACAGAGCGAGTTCCAGGATAGCCAGAGCTGTTAAATAGAGAAACCCTACCTCAAAAAACCAAAACAAACAAACAGACCCCTCAGAGAATTGGAACTCCTTTCTATCCTGTGGGTTCCAGGAATTAAACTCAGATCATTAGGATTATTGGTAAGCACCTCTACCCATTGACCCATTTTGCCTGTCCATAAAAAACACTTCATTAATTACTCAATGTTTTCCTTTTTTGTTTTCTTTCTTTTTCCCTTTTTGTTCAACTTTTTATGTCAAAGCTATCTATCATATTAGTTCTGCAGACCATTTTATTTTATTGGTGCCCCCCCCCGAAATTCTGAATTAAATTTTCTGTTGCATGTAATCATAATGTTCTATGTGTAGAGTGTTATAAAATTTCTAGATGGAACTATGGAATAAGGAATTTTATTCTATTTTTACAGAACTTGGTCTTTAATGCAGAAATAAGATTTTAGTTCTAAGTTTAGAGGAGGGATTCTTTTTTTTTCCTATAGTGATCCTAGGTATTTCTTTTTCTGATTTTTTTGTTAATTAAGAAAAATTTTTCATTCATTTTACACACAACCAAAGATACCTCTCTTCCCTCCTCCGCCCTTCCCAACCCACCCCTCACTCTCCCCCAACAAGAAGGCAAGGCCTCCCATGGGGAGGCACATCCAGTACAGGCAAGTCCAAACCATTTCCACTGCCTCAAGGTTGCAGGAGGTGTCTCATCATAGGTAGTGGGCTCCAAAAAGCCCGCTCATGCACCAGGGATGGATTCTGATCCTGCCACCAGGGGGCCCCCCAAGCCGATCAAAGTACACAACTGTCTCACTTATGCAGAGGGCCTAGTCCATGAGGCAGGCTCCACAGCCACTGATCCAACTTTCATGAGTTCCCACTAGTTTGGTTTGGTCATCTCTGCAGGTTTCCCCATCATGATCCTGATGCATTTGCTCATAGAATGGAGGAGGGATTCTTAATTTAAAATCAGGGTGTGAGAATCCTTAATAGGACTCTTAAATTACAGAGAATTTTGTGTGAGTTTGTATATTTCTGTGGAAAGAGTCTATAGTTTTTATCAGAAATATTTGTAACTCAATGAAAATTGGGACTCTGTGCTATAAATAGTGATTTTCATTTAACTGCCCATGCTTTCTTTTTATTAGTCTTGGCCATTTCATCACCCAGTTAATAAGAAGTTTGTTCCAGATTATTACAAAGTGATTGTCAGTCCAATGGATTTGGAGACTATACGTAAGGTGAGTGATTTTTATAATTAGTGTCTTTTTATAGTCAAATGTTTTTGTATATATAGCTGAGTGTCTTGTTTTTATCATAGAATATCTCCAAGCACAAATACCAGAGTCGAGAGAGCTTTCTAGATGATGTAAACCTTATTCTGGCCAATAGTGTTAAGTACAATGGTGGGTATTTCTTTTTTTTTCCTCTTTCAGCAGTCTGTTCAGCACTAATTTGCATTATTAAGATTTTAAGGGCTTAAGCAGTTTTGAGCAGTGATAGCTAAATCAAATAAGTCAGTTTACTTCTTAAAATTTTGTTTTTATATCTGTATGTATGTTGTAAGAGTGGGAGTGCTATTCTGGTATGCTTTTGGAGGTTAGAGGACAACTTGGAGAGGTGGTTCTCTACTTCCATCATATGGCTTCCAGGGCTGAACCTAAGTTGCCAGGCTTGGCACTGAACCATTTAGTCTGCTTAGTTTGATTTTGTTTTTAGAGTCAGGGTTTCTCTGTGTAATAGCCCTAGCTGTCATGGAACTCACTCTGTAGACCAGAATGGCCCTGAACTCAGAGATCCACCTGCCTCTGTCTCCCAAGTGCTGGCATGAGCCATCACTGCCCGCTTTACTTTTTTTAAGTAGGTGCATATTTTAGTGTGTGTTTTGTAAGAATCACTATTAAACTTGATGAAAAGCAGTTGATCCTTATTTTTGAAATTGTGTAAAGCATAGAAAAATGAGGTGTGAATAAAAATCAAATGAATGTTCCTTGTCCTTTGAGTCATTGCTGTGTTCTATAAGATTTGAAAAGTTACATTCCAACTCTGCATGGAGCTGAGGCTGAAATGTATAGCTAGCTGTAGACCATGGCAAACTTTGGTATGTGAAATTTTGCTCAGTACCTGAATTGATGGAATAATATGTACTAGACTTTTTGCTAGCTGCTTAATCTACTGATAGAAAGGATGGTCTCTGTTCCAGCACTTCATACTTGGGTTGATATAAACAAATAAAATATAGCTTGACAAAGCTATAATAGAAGGATATACAAAGTACATTAGAGAAAAAAAATTACTTTAATCTGAGTGTTAGGAAAGGCTTCATAAACTAGTAAAAGTTAAAGGATTTTTGTTTTTGAAACATGGTTTCATGTATCCCAGGCTGGCCTTGAACCTGATATATACCTGAGGATGACCTTGGATTCAGCTTCCTGCTCCTACCTCCCAATTTTGTGTAGCACCAAGTATGGCTCAGTGATTTTTTTTTTTTTTTTTTTTTTTTTTTGGAGACAGAGTCTCGCTATGTAGCCATGGCTGGCCTGGAACTCACTATGTAGAACTCAAGGATTAAAGAATGTTCCACTTGGCCGGGCGGTGGTGGCGCA